CAGCCCCGCGGGCGGGTACAGCCTCCTGTTTGAAGCTTGGGCCCGCTTGTTTTCAAAAGAAAAAGCCCGTTTTTTGGAGGGGTGTCTTGCTCGTTCCGATAAGCCATAAGTCATGTAAGTGCGTCTGAAGTACTACTGAAGTAGACTGATGTTGGTCCTAGCTGCAACCTTAAAAACAGGTCTTTCATCTGCACTTGTGAAAGGTTTTGCATCTGCTTATTAAAGTAGTAGTATGTGACAAGACTTAGAGAATCTGTGTAGTTCTGTACTCTTGAGTTCTTGAATAAAACTCCCCAAATTGCTTCTGGATGGTGCTAAAGATAGGTGCGCTGCCAGGTGTCATATTTTGAGAAGGCAGCTAAACAAAGCCCTGGCATTTGATGTAGTCTTAATTGCCATGCTCAGTCTGCTACTGGATTACTTTCATCTGTTACTGTATAGAAAGCAAAAATTCATTAATATTTACTATCCAAGTCAGAAATGTGAATTTTTCAGAATTCAAATATTACTTTAAGGCCATCTATTGTGTGGACTCCTCCTATATTCTGATCTCCACCCATGACATTTCATGGGTGGAACTTCCATCACAAATCTCGAATATTCCCATGCTGCATAACAGCTTATTATTTAGGCAAACTTCTCTCATTTGCTTTCAAAATCTTATTGTATAAATGCTGGTACAGATAATTTATGTTGTAAAGCAACTGCCTTCATTTTCATTTGGTTTTGTTAGTGTACCTTGAGTGCTGTCAGCTGACCGGGAACAGGTGTGGCATCACCTGTGACCACGAAACAAAAGGAATTGCATTTACTTCATATTCTTTCATATCAGGTTGATTACAGAGGCCATCACTTGAGGTGGCAAGCAGACTGAAGAGTAGACAGGCTATAGACTGCCAGTGTAAGTAGAGTAAGAACTGCTTCCCAAGGCAGAATATTTTTTGTTCTCACAGTACTAAATAGGGATGGTATTGATGATTCACCTTCTAAAACACGGGAGGCTACAGGTGTAGCGCAGCAGTGTAATACTGCAGTCTGATCCTTGTGCATCAGCACCAGCAGCATGTGGTTGCTGAATTTCAGTGTGTGTTGATAGGTATTCACAACCAGCAGCTGAGATAACAGGGAAGGAATCTCATGAGCAACACCTTCTGCAACAGATGTTAAGATTTGATAATAATATCTATCAGTAACTAAAAAATATGGTTCCTTGAGCCTTTCATGAGAACTACTGTTTGGACTAACAAAAAGCATCAGTCAGTTAATTGCTAATTGCTACCTCTGTATTAGTTTCTTCCCCTTGTCTCCAGAAGCCACTCCCTTTCACATAGCTCAGCTGCAAAATGCCTTTGTAGCTGTGCTGTGCTGGCAGGCATAGTGCTTCCCTTCATCTGCCCTACCTAGCAAAACACCTGTGGTATCACCTGCATGAACTACTGGTCTTAATCAAGATGCAGAGCATCTGGTTGAACTGTCATTGCTGAATTCAGTCTAGTAATTGAATGACCGAAAAACCTCAGACTGCAGTACAAACATCTAAAAATAAGAACTTTATCCTAAGAACTTGCACAATGTCACGCTGGTGAAAGCACAGGCACTAGCCCTGGGTAGGTAACTGGCAGGTCAGCCAGTGGGGCCAGCCAACCTACTGTGCAGCTGGAACAGAGTTTCATTGCTTCTCCCCATTTCATGACAGAACATGGTTCCAGATAACATTTTTCTAGTGGTGTCTGGAGGTCATGGAAATCCTTTCCAGTATCCAACATCAGATGTATCATTGTGTATCTAGTGGAGTTTCCTATTACCTTGAACTTTCTTCCATCATTACCAAAGGAAAGAACAACCAGTGGATTTGTCACAGGTCTTCTGCTTCCATCTTCTAAATCTCATTTCCTTTCTCAAGACTGTACCTATTAAATCTTCTCTAGGTAGTCTTTTTTCCCTCCCCAGCTAAAAGGCTTTCTTCTACTTTTTTTCCTTCCACTTTCACATTTGGAGAATTAATATAGCATGCGAATTCTTTAATTTTTCCCCTCATTCAAGGAGAGGGGCAAACAAGACCACCAGAACAACAGAATCTGTTAACTGCTGCATTACCAGTTTAAGGAATGTATTGGCTGTTGCTGTAGTTAACTCATTTTCATTTAACTCACACCCCAGTACTCTCACAGTCCAAGATATTAACAGGTAGATCAAAACTGCAGAATTAAAAGTGGTTAATTATTTGACAGGTTAGTGTCAGCTGCCCAGAATTACTATTAGTAATCCTCTGCTATTGAGGATTGAAAATAATAGAAATTTTGTCCTGTTTTGTTAACCTAAAATATTCAATACTACTAGTAAAAGCAAGCACAGGGTATTATCTGCAGCTATTCAACAACAGAAAAGAGAGCTTGGATATATTAATTCTTAACACTATTCTATAACTCTGCTGTAATGATCACCTTGTTAATCCTCACAGTCCTGCATAAGTTGTCATTGTGAAAATAATTTTGTATCTAGTAAACCACTACATGTAACAGATATTGCAGAATCTGTATTTCTAGTTGTTAGAAACGCTTAAATGTCAACAAAACATGAAATAACTCAATATGTGAATTTTTTCTTTAATCATTTATCTTAATACAATGATTGCCAAACTTTTCTGATGTAGAAACCAGGACCATAAAGCCTTATATAACTGATGAATGAAGTGGGTAAGATGATAGAGAAGGGCAGTTGCTTATTTCTCTTCAAATATTTCATGGTCCTATAGCTGCCCTACAACGTTCAATTTGATTTTAAACAGTGGGTGTATCAGATTTGTACCACGCAATAAGGATAATGTAAATTATCCTTTTTAGTCAAGTGATTGGCAGACTGTTATGTGTTGCATCAAAATGACTGACATACCCGTCTGTGGAACATCACTGACATGATCTCCAACAAAGGGGAAACTGTTGAGGTCCATGTTCTGCTCATGAGACAGACATCAACATTTTCACATACAGATGGAATAACGGGGGAGAAAAGTGGGGTAAGGCAACAAATGCTGTCTGTCTCATTTTATGCCACTAGAGAAGTGCCACATAGTGTCACATGCCTGACCTGCTACAAGGCATGTAGCTATTAAAAACACTGGAGTGACCTTTCAGAAAAGCATTCAGCAACTTTAAATTACAGATACTACTTCAATCCATGTGTTATTTTCTCCTATGGGCAGTGTTTTATACTACTTGTATACAAGACTTTTTGTCATGCTTATTGGGTGACTGCTTCACTCATGACTTGTATTTATCAAATTTTACTTTTCCCTTTGTACACAATTCAATTATTTATAAATTTAGTAATGTAGAAGGGACAGCAAGTTTTACATACAGATCACACAGATTAGTTCTTAAAAGTAGCCAATACACAGCAGTAAGGTCAAAGAAGGATCTGTGAATCAAATAACTAGCTTCATGTATTACACTTTGCCATATATTAAGCTGTTCTGGTATATTCTATATTCCCTCAACTGCATAACTTGGCTGTAATGAATAAATTTGTACAGGAAGTGGTTTCTTTGTTGCTGCTCATTCTTTTAGTAGAGTATTACTGGTATTTGAGGTTGTTTTTGTAACATGGTAAAAAGATAATTTGCGCATTTTTCCTGGTCACTGAATGGTACGAAGAAGAATCAGAGTCAAGAAGAACCACTTCTTACTGAATCTACCAGATTTTTTTTTATACAACACAGCTTGGATCACCTTTCCTGTGTGTTTTTTTTTTTTGTTGTTTTGTTTTAAATTGCAATTAAAATTAACATACCTTGAAGTTTTGTCAGATAATCTCCTTTCAGTTTGTCTCCTTTTGCATTTGCTAGATTTGTGACTTAGTGAGTTTTGTTGCATCTTCAAAGAACCTTAGAAAAATCTGAAAGAATTTTCAATGACAGATGAAAAGATGCAGCCTTCACACCTCAGTGATCCTAAGTGGACTCTTTCAGTGAGTCACTTGACACTCTACAGAACCACTTTTATATTCTAGAATGATGATCACGCTTTGCAGTATAGAAATCATGGTAAGTTAGATATTGTAATTGCTGTTGCTTTCTTGATTAAAAAAAGTATTATAATGTACCTCATTTTACTGAGATTAAAGTTACTTTATTGTTTTCAGACAGTTAATCTTATATTACAAAAGTTCTTAGAGGTCAGCTCGAACTCCAAAACCTGGTCCTTTGGGTGGTTCAGTCAGAGAAGTAAGGCCACCAGCTGGCTCACAAGAAAAACGTCCACTCCTGAAAAATGAAAGCAGTTTTATTCAGATACTGTTTAATAACTCAATAGAAAATAGTAACAAATCTGACTTAAGGCTGAGACCAGTTTTTTTTTTTCCATTATTTCTATTCATCCTTCAGAAACGTGTGATGATACTCTTAAATCTAAGGGATTCCAAATTCAAGTAGTGACAAATAGTTTCATAACTGAAGTGCAAGATAAGACCACTAGTTTTTTTATTTTTTTATTTATAGGGTGGCCAGACAAAAGTGATGTTGATCCTAGAAATACCAAAGGCAGTATCCAATTGTATCAGTTTTATTTTTGTTAAACCAGAGTTTCCAAACACAGGGAAGTAAGATTATTGTTCTTGTATTCAAAAAAATCATTGTAGAAACAATAGGAATAAGTAACACGCAAGTCAAATTTAATCCTCCATTCACACAAATGTACATGTAATTGGGCTAACCAAAGAACAATGGGAAATAAGAAAATCTCTGAAATAACCCTTTCACAAACTTTCAATCTTTCTGGTTTTGTTGTAAATAAATAAATAAATAATAATTTTTTAAAAATCAACAAATGCCTGTTGGTTGATGTGATGTAGACAAAAAAAAAAAATCCAACAGGGGATATCATTCCCCTATTAGGTACTAAGCCAAATCACAATTGACTTTTTCACATTTCATGCTCCTCCAGTCAGTCATCAAGAACATGAAAATTCTCTTGGTTCTTTCCAGTTCTTTTTGGCTTTGAATATACAGAAAAGCACTGAATGCATGCCATTCTATTCAGTAAATTAATGAACGCTTTTTAGCTGCACGTTGTGAACTCAAATCACTGGTACAGGAATTTAGTTTCTCAAAAAGATCAGTCTTGAAGTAGTTGGCCAGTATTATACAAATACAGCATACCTTGGGCCAGGTTTGGGAACTTTGCCAGCCTTTAGCTCATCAATTATGTCTTCAATATCTTTGGGTGTCAAATCTTCCTGCAGTCAATCAATAAATAAATAAAATAAAATGAATAAATAAATAAATGACAAAACAGAGGAAGAGTCAGCGATTGTGTTAATTGCAGCATAAAAAACTCATCAGATTTGTGGCTCTCTTAGGCGTGATCTTCACATAGGTACTTTTGATCCTGTCCATCAACATGCATGTACTGATTTAAAGAATTAGGAAATTTTAAAAGCCTACTGTCATTTTAATGTTAAAATTTTTGGTTAACATATAGATGCAGCAGTTATGATAAAACTTAATGTTCACACGGGTCATCTATAACATGGGTTTGTGTTTTCAGGTTCCTTGGAATATTGGTGAGCTGCATTTCTGCCTATCCGCCATACACATGCCATTGTACATACCGCAAAATGGTGTCAGCTGTGACAAAAAATTGTGGGTACAGTTCAAGAGAACAGTTCTTTAAAAAATTAATCAGACTATGATAACAAAGTATTTTAAAAATAAGCTTTTTTTAAAAAAGCTAGATTCAGTCAATACATAATTTCTTTGGTCTGATGGCATGAAGTGAGCCATAATTCAGAAGTCTTAAAGTTCAAAAATAGTGCTCAACCAGTCTGTACTTTCCAACACACTGCTTTAAAGTGCTTTTAAAAGCTTATCAAATAACCATTTAAAAATTCCAGATTTATGGGCAGACCACTGTCACAAAAATCCATCACCCCACTTGTATAAATCAAGATAGTAACTGAAAAGAAAAATACACTGATACTTTGTGTTACAGATAAGTGTTCCAGGAAGAGGCCAAGAAACTAAAAGATGCTCTAGGTTTTAAGTTGTCCTTGCCAACGAGAATTTGAAGTAACTGACCAAAACTTCAGAATCTGAAACCAGTGAAAATACAGGTAACCGAGCAAAGAAGTTTGATCTTTTAAAAGGGAATGTAATACTTACATAGTAATTGTCATTTATTTGTACCATCGGTGCATTTACACAAGCACCTAAACATTCCACTTCTATCAGTGTGAAGAGTTTATCAGGTGTTGTTTCCCCAACTTTTATACCTAAACCAATAAAGAATATTAGGTTCAGCAATGGTTACTGAACAAGATTAATAAAGCATGAGTCTTAAGTACTCCATAGTCTTCTCATTACCTGTATTTTGGCCTTTAAAACATTTGCATAGTTAAATCCTCTTAAAGGAGTCCAAAAAGTTTCCATTAAATAAAAGATTATTAGAAACTGTGAAGTCAATCTTTGGATACATTTTTGAGACCTCATTTATAGGTATGATTTATTGAAAAATAACCATGAAATGACAGGTCTAAGAAACAGAACAGCTCTACTCAGGAACATTTTTAGTAATCAATACAATAGAATGGAAAAATAGGGAAAACATAGCTTTCATGTGCTGATATGAAATGCATTAATATACAGCGTTGAGTACTGAATTCCCAAATCAAACAAGATCCAAGCATTAACACTGTTAGCTACAAATTCATAAACAACTTCCAAAGTTTATACACTAAGGCTTATTTCCTGAAAAACTCTGTATGCATACTTAGCTTCCATAACCACGTTATTGTTCTACTGATAAACACACAGACCCTCCCCAGAGGGCAGGTTAGCCAAAACAACATCTTGGAGTCTGATCTCGACAGAATACTCTATGGAAGGAAGGATGCTGAAAAGCAGTTTTCCTCCATATTTATTAGAAGGGGGGGGGGGAACTAATAAAAGTCTAAGTAAGGCCTGTGTCTCAGTTAGAGCTACACAATCATCCTTAATGCTTTGATTTCTCAAGCAAAGAATTTCAGTTAAAATTAAGCTATCTTTGCAGTAACAAACCAAGACAAATTCCATCCAAACATGCCTTTCCCAGACAACAGAATATATGAAATGCAAGATAATAAGCAGCTGTTCTGCAGCTCCTACCAGAGTGGTTCTTAGGGAATGTTAGCACAGCTTACAACTTCATAGAAGGGGAAGAGTTGTTAGTGCTGATCTTATCCCCTCTTCTCCCCATAACCACCCAACAAGGAGGAAAAGAAACCCCAACCCACACACCAAACCCACGAGTTCTCCTTACATCTCATATAATGCAGCACTCTCAATTGACCTTTTCTATGGAGAACTTCTAAGTTATGTTAACATCATGTTTGCTATCCAGAGTGACCTTGACAGGCTGGAGAGGTGGACCTGTACAAACCTCGTGAAGTTCAACAAGGCCCAGTGCAAGGTCCTGCACCTGGGTCGGGGCAATCCCAAGCACAAATACAGGATGGGCAGAGAATGGATTGAAAACAGCCCTGAGGAAGAGGACTTGGTGGTGTTGGCTGATGAGAAGCTCAACATGAGCCAGCAACGCATGCTTGCAGCCCAGAAAGCCAACCGTGTCCTGGGCTGCATCCAAAGAAGCGTGGCCAGCAGGTCAAGGGAGGTGATTCTGCCCCTCCACTCTGCTCTCAGGAGACCCCACCTGCAGTACTGCATTCAGCTCTGGGGTCCCTAACACAGGAAAGACATGGACCTGCTTGAGCGGGTCCAGAGGAGGGCCACAAAAATGATCCGTGGGCTGGAGCACCTCTGCTATGAAGACAGGCTGAGAGAGTTGGGGCTGTTGAGTCTGGAGAAGAGAAGACTCCAGGGAGACTTTATAGCGGTCTTCCAGCACCTGAAGGGGGCCTACAGGAAAGCTGGAGAGGGACTTTTTACAAGGGTGTGTAGTGATAGGACAAGGGGCAATGGATTTAAATTGAAAGGGCAGATTTAGATTAGATATAAGGAAGAAATTCTTCACTCAGAGAGTGGTGAGGCACTGGAACAGGTTGCCCAGAGAAGCTGTGGATGCCTTATCCCTGGAAGTGTTTAAGGGCAGGTTGGATGGGGCTTTGAACAACTTGATCTAGTGGCAGATGTCCCTGCCCATGGGAGGGGGGCTGAAACTATATGGTCTTTGAGGTCCCTTCCAACCCAAACCATTCTATGATTCTATCATCTTAAGTAAAAAAAATCCTCACAAACAACTTATAGCATATACCTTAAAAGTCTTATTTTGCATATAAAAAAGTGCCATAGCATTCAGAGGCCTCTCCTATATATGGGACAGGGCTTACCTTCTCAGTCCAAAGGTCATATTAGAATAATGCATTTCCTGGCAAATTGCCTTTAAGACCATTAAATGGCACTCCAGACAATGGCCCTTTCTGCTGTACTGTATTGAAGTCTTTAAAAATAAAGAACAAATGCAAAATCTGAAATTTGAAGTATTTAGGGCCTATTTTCAATGCTATTGCTCTGTCCCCACCATATGAAAAAAATTTACTTCAGTATCATTAAACAAAGGTAAAAAAAATACAAAAAGTATATTACAAATTTGTATCCTACCAAGTTTCTTCTTAATGGCTTCTAAAATACTATCAGAGTCTCGCAGCATGCAAGGCGTGGTAGTGCAGACCTGAATATGGTATTTCCCAACAGGTTTGCGATTATACATTGTATAGAAGGTTGCTACTTCATACACTCTCATGGGAGGCATTTCTAAAATTTCAGCAACCTGTAACAAGGGGAAAATAGACACTATTGAATTCTCACAGGACATCAGCAAAGACATTAACAAACCATTTCAGTAATGTCACCGGTTCTCTGCCTGAACTAACAGATAAATAAGAGGGAGGGGATGGGTATCGAAGCACAGCTGTACTCAAGTGCCAGGAAATGACACCAGTTACTCTGATTGGAGTCACCCTGCTCAAGCACAAACTCCACGAAGCCACGGAGTAGCAGAGCACGGAGCTCAAGTCAGCTTCCCTCCAGCATCCAGTGTCACACACAAGCCAGAAGCGAGGAGTCAGCTGGGTTCCAGCTTTCATTGTCAGCTCCAGCTCATACTGCTCCAGCTCATACTGCACTTCCGCTCTTCGTAGGAACGAACTTGCACCCACGTGCCCGCACTAACCCACGAAAGGTAAGGGAATGCTTATAGGCTGGTGCTATGCTCACCGAATTCAGATACAGCAGGTCCGTCTAGGGTCCTGCAACGCACCAGGGGTGGCCTTAGAAACGCCACTGCAGCATCTGCAGATTGGCGTCACAGCTAATAAACAGGGAGTGAAGCACGATCTCCATGGAGCCGGTTCTGGTGTAAGTATCCCTGACCTCATTCACCTGGAACCCTGGCAAATTGCTCAGGTTGAGAACTGGCTCTCTTTTCCAAGTGTAACTGGTTTATGTTCCAGTCTCTTTAGCAGGCACCTAACGAACCAGAGAAAGCATTTGTTCGCTTAAACAAATCTGAAGAACTTTTTAAACATAGTATCAATCCAAAACTTAGAGTAAATAAACAAAAATACTCTTCCCATTCAGTGTTAATGGAGATTTGAGGCTTTATGCTACACTGTAGAAACAGTAGCAGACAAAATTCACCCTTCCGTAAATGCGCACTTAGCTCCTTCAGTAATTTCTGTAACGCTCACAATCCTCACCCCTAGCATTATCTTGATTAAGGTAGAACTTTTCAATTTAAAAATGATGATACACCAGTCGTAACACAAAATATGACAGATTTATTTGTAGGAATATAAACCAGAATTTCTTATTTCTTTGTATTTGATTACTGTCATGCAATCTATCACTTTGGAGCAGTGCAGTTGCTTGCTTGCTTATTTTGAAACAATTTTAATAAATAATTTGATAAGCCTTCCAGGCAGCGAACAAAATTCTTCAAGTTTCTGTTCCTACTTCCAGGATGATTCTGGGACAAGAGCCTATCCAAATAAACCTCATGCAACTTTTGTTTTGTTCTGTCTGTAGTTTCTAGCAATGTGCTAACATTATGTAAACAACAGAGCCCTGAGTTCCCTGGCTTAGTTTTCCCTTTTATTTTTAAAAATATAATCTCATAGGGGATTCTCACAATTCTGTGGCATGTGTATGCTTTGATAAATAAATGCTAATATTCTAGTAAGATATTTAAAGAAAAAGTAAAATTATGCTTGAAAGATAATTAAGTACTAAATACCTTATTCATAGCTGATATGGGCAACCATCCATGCTGTCTTTGGGCCAAATCTAGTACTGCCATGACAGCTGCAGACTTATGTCCCTCTGGGTAGTTGTTTACGATTGCTTCTATTCGCTTTTTAAAGGAAAAGAGGGAAAAAAAGCATCAGTGCCGCTCTAAAGACAAAGTCTGTGTATTTAACTTTTTTTGTCTGCGTACCTTTTGATTTTCAGGTGTGAACTCAAATGGAGTATCTGGATTGTTTTCAGGGCTATCTCTGTGCTTCAGGAAAAGAGAGAGAAAACATATAAAAATAGGCTTGTCAGGAAATTATTCAAGACAGATTTACCGTTGTAAAATATCTTCTCATTAGATAGTTACAGTTGAGTTGCTTGAATAAAACTGATATATTCCAGATAAAAATTTCATAGTACTCAATCATAAATGATTAAATATCTCTGGGAAAGTTATCAAAAATATCAAATATTTAATCACTCTAAAAATAATAACTTATTCCTGTTATTTCCTATTCAAATATTTCTTGAGGAATACGGTGTTGTTATCAAAATATATATGTTTGTTAACACTCTTAATACAGTTTGGCAAGTACGTTCAAGCTCATCGCAGGTAGATTAAGTCCTTTGGTTAATATCTGAACAAGGACTAAAACAACAGCTCGCTTTTTTCTTTTCCTGAGAGACGTTAACTATAAAACTTTTAAAATACAGCAAGCTTCTTGATGAATAACTAAAATGTTTGCACATTCAAACACACATTATTAACCCATTTTAACATATTCTTTTGATTTGTCATGGATTTCAACATTTTCATTTTAGATACAATTCTGAATCAGAGTGAAAGAAGCAGAATTTTGAATTAATATTTCCAAAGTAAGGTATTCTATCATATTGTTTTTCAGGTGATCTTCTAGGGAAACATCAAATTGACATTCACTTTTCTATTTTCAGAAAACACAAATTTGGAAGTCTTGAAGAAAGTGACATTTTCCTACAATAAAATCTTAGTTCTGATGACAATGCTTATCTACTAGAAAAACTTCCTGCACAAGAGTTTGTTATCTCTAAGCAGCTCATTATGATATTCTTGAAATACTCATAGCTAAGTTTCATTCCAAACTTCATACAGTTTTCAAATTGAGAACATTTCAAGTTAAATGGAAAGTTTGGGGAAGAATGCAAGCTACACTTGAGACTTAATGTTAAAAGCAATCCACAACCAGCTAATGATAAAAGCTTTACATGTATATTTAGGAGAACAAAACCTACTCCACTGATCTCAAGTAACCTTGGGTAATTTTGCAGTTTCCACACTGCGTTATTAAGCAGCGAAGGATTTAATGAAAAATCTTAACACTGCAAGATACTTACATATTGAAAGATTGTCATCAGTTTGGAATTTAAAATATGTATGTCCATAGCTATTCCTGGATTTAGAAATTTTAATATGGAAGTATCAGAAGGCCAGATACTTAACTTCAATTACATCTGTTGGTGTAGCAAAAGAGATTCCCTTTGCTTATCCTGTCCATATCCTGGAGCAGACAGTACTACTGCCACCATCAATTTGAGAACATATACCCCTACCACAGTTCCAAGTCAGATATAAAACTACAGTCGATATCCACTTCTCCACAAAGGACGACTGTCCCCTGATGACAGGAAGTACAGAAAGATAACTGTTTCCCTTTGAACACGTTATTATTTTATTAAGTATTAATTTATTGCTTATTGTGTGATCTACAAGATAACATAAAACTGCTTTTAGGAACACAGTTGCCACTATTTTAGACTGATCCTTCCAGATAAAAAATTTGACTCCTCATATGTAGTGTTCGTGAGAGTTTTCTACCAGTTTTAATGAAAGTTCTCAAAAAGAGGCTGATGGAGGAAAAACTGATTGGAAATACTCTGCAACTTTTATTTTTTTCCCCCCCTTACAGACCTGTTCTATGCCTTAGCTGCACAGATCAAATCCATGATTCATGATAAGTATTTCCAGAACTTAATCTGCATGCCTGTTTTATTTCAGGCTGCTCTTTTTCCTTCCATAGCTATTTGATAACAGTTACAATTGTACTAGATCTCAATTTCTTTTCAAATAAGTATATTGGATTTATGAAAGTCTCCCTCTTTGTCTAGAATAGCTGTTCTTTTCAGTGTATTATCTGTAAACTGATATCCAGAACTATCCTACACGTGAAGAGGAAAAATAAAGACTTTGTATCTGAAGCTCCAGTTTGTCACACAGTCAGCAAGGCACCAGAGATACATTGTAAACGCTACAGCACAAGTGAATGCTAAATAAGATAATGTCACTTTTTTGTTGTTTTCCATTTTCTTAAACAGGCTTCATCTTATTCTATGCTGGGGAGAGTTTGATAGTTTTCATCGAGAGCTTACAGAGCTCTAGGCCTACCGAGCTGGCAGGAATTTGTCAATTGCATGTTCCCTAATATTTCATTTGTCTGACCATTAATGTACCATTTATCTGAGATTTACATGAGATTTGCTCCTAAATGGTATCAGTGCATTTCTGCCTTTTTTTAAGATACAAATTCTGCAGAATAAGATCAGAATTAAGGACCCATGGCAGGGGGGTTGTAACTAGATGATCTTTAAAGTCCCTTCCAACCCAAACCATTCTGTAATTCTATGATTCTATGACACAATATTGGAAAGAATACTATGTTAAACCCCAGAGTGGTTGAGCTTGGAAGGGACCTCTGGAGGTCAGCTGGGCCGATATCCCCTGCTCAAGCAGAGCCACCCAGAGCTGGTTGCTCAGGATTATGTCCAGATCGCTGCTTCTGAATATCTCCAAGGTGGGAGACTCCACCACCTCTCTGGGCAACCTATGCCAGTGCTTGGTCACCTTCACAGTAAAAAAGTGTTTCCTGATGTTCTCTGAGGCCATTGCCTCTGGTCCTGTCACTGGGCACCACTGTACCACCATACACAAACTACGTACAAACAATTATGTCTGTACCAACTACAGCAGTTTCTTGAAAAGCAAGGTCAAACTCCGTCCACACGTTTCTCCCCCCCAATTCCCTTGTCATGCTGTCCAATTTCCTGAAGTTTCACACAATATGTTTTTATTCCCTGCACAGGTTGACTGTATCACATTTGCATTGCAGCATTCAGCCTAATCTACTTAAATTGTGAACAACTGCACTGTGAAGGCCTACCCAAGTCACACTGTCCTCACAAACAATGGAACTCTCCCATGGAAGGTTCTAAGGCTTCTAAATGTTCATCTCACTCTCTTTGCTACACCAACCTAGGCCATTTTATTATTCTTTTTCAGTGACGTAATCATCCATCTTCCTTGACACAGAGAATTATTAAAGAGTGCTGAAGAATTACAATAGAAGAACTAGAATAATTTAGCTTTCATATATACTGCAAAAATGTTGGCCTGAAACTTGACCTATGCCCTGTGGTAAACACCAGTTCAAAACAGTGTAAACCAAAATGAGAGAAGCGTGTGGTCTGCAAGGGAAAAGGGGCGACAACCTGTTAAAACTCCATACCAAATCAGCAATGAAACTGACTACTTCTCCAAGGGGAAAGTACCCTACATTTACTATTCCAGCAGAACTCAAGATCAAACCTCTCAAATTAAGAATGGTGGAAGTGCTCTCAGACACAAATATTTTACTGACCATCTTCACAAGTAACTAAACCTACAATATAGCAATTAACCTTCTGTACTGAGCCCCTGTGCAGCCCTATGACAAAGCCCACATCAGGACAGTTGATGTGCTAAAGGAAACTCAGTCCCTGTGTTGAAAACCACAAAGTACAAGAGTTAAGTTTCAGCTGTTAAGGAGGCTAAAGACAGGTAAAGACAGAGAAGGCATGCTTAAAGAAAGAAAACTCTTGTAAATAAGAGTATCTTTGAAATCAGCCTTTCCCTAGACACCAGAAATATGATAGATTTAGAGCAGCTTTCTGATATTACAACTGGCAAACAATCTACTTTGTTTTAAACTTGATTCACTCTTTCTAAAAGTGTGATCTGGCTGCCTGTGATGGCACCAGACTGAGTTTAATGGTTGACAAAGTCTCTTCTTGGGCGTTTCAGAATAAAAAGAGTTTCAGTAGAAGTTTTGTTATTTCTGTATGCTTCTGATAAAATATAAGGAAAAAATTTGCATGAAAAAAGTTTGCAAAGGGATACAAGGGCATGCAAATCAGCACTGCCTTTCAATAATAGATTTTAAGGCAACCAGCTCCCCTGCTGTTACAGAACAAATATACCGTATGCATTTCCCTTCCTCACACATAGATTTTCTATATGGAAGGCGCAATAAGAAGCACTGATATGCTTTATAAAACAAAACCAAGACACTTGTGTGCAAACTGACATGCAAAGAGGACCACCATAACACATCAGCGCTACTCCCAGGTAAGCCTGCTATTCCTCCACAAGCAGTTTTTAACAACCTTTGTTAACAACCTTTGTTGCTTGTAATATTCCAGAAAACAAATATTTTTGTTTACTGTTGTTTCCTGCCCACCTCCCCCCCC